ACAGGAGCCTTCTCTGTTTCCTCTTCATCCTCCTCCTCATCGGTTTTCTGCTCGATAACTTCTGTTGAAGCCTCGACCACTGTGTTTGCTACAGCTGTATCTGCTTCAACCGTAAACCAATCATCTTACAAACAAAGTAACAGAAAAATAGGTACGATTTGTCAACAGAGAGATAATAAAACTAACCTTCACCACTAAAGCCCGAGTCAAGTACAAGACCTGTAAGATGTTGCTTCAAGAAAACCTACAACCAAACATTGATTAATGAATATGACTCTTAACTTCACAGAACGCATTATTAGGATCATGTGGATGAGTTCTACCGCAGAGATTAGCTGACGTGTCTTCACGTCATAAACCCGTAAATATCGGTCCAACCCTGAACAGTTACAATAACAAAACAACACGCAATCATGAGATTGTTGAAATGCATATGGAGGTTTAAGTTATGACAAATGAATCTTACCGCAAGAAGCTATCACTTGATGCTGTGGATGTCTAACAACGGATCTTATGCTTCCAGAACACTTTCCTAAAAAGCTTCCCAACAGCTTTCCTGCAACCGAGATGATTAATTACATGTTTGATACAGCAACATAGATTATGATACATTTGTAGAGAGAAGAATCAACAAACCTGTTCGTATATCAAAGGAAGCGAGGTCAGCAGAAGCATTCCCGACATATATTGTATGACCATCTGGGTCTTCAGCGATTGCTGTAATCTGGGACTCACGGAAATCAAAGGACAGGACTGGTCTACGCTGAGTAGAAATATCATAAAGACGAACCTGCCTCGTGCACAAGCAAAACCGTGAGTGATCAGGAAAAAGTGATTACTAACTGATGACTTAAAAGGGACAAAAGAAACTTCAGGTTTAACCTGGTGAGACTTGGTTCCCGTGACAAATTTACGGTGGTCATCGTTGCTCAAGAATGCAGCACAAGTGAACCAGGTGGGCGTGAAGATCCCGAGATTGTCTTTAGGAGGCTGCACGAAGTAAAGATTGTTTAGAAGAGACATTAAAGGCTAGTTAGTTCATCAAAGAAACTGAGAAGCTTTGAAGGTATAAAGACAAGGAGCTCACGCATTTCGCGCTCCAGATCTTAGTACATTGTTCAAGATCCCATATATTGACTTCAACACGCCTCCTGCATTATTTCAATATGGTGACAACCAAACCGAGATATAACTAGAGGATCCACATATAAAAGCAAATCGATTCAGTTCTAAACTACTAACCCTCCAAATAAGCCGAACTTTTCGCTTCCATCCACTTTACCAACCAATAATTCACCAGAACTACATACTTTCCAAGTTGTGGGAACAGCATCATCCGTGTAATCGTCATGTGCATCTGGAAATTTCACTGACCTGATGCTCACATCTCCCTTTCTCGTGCATGTAAGCAATGTGCAAGATCTAATAACACCAAGTTTTGTTAAGTAACGTCAATGGCAAATATACAAAATACAATACAAAACTCACTGGCGATTATCGAAGAAACGGTTTCAGTGTAAACGAGTATACCTTTGTGCCTGATCGTCCTTTTGTTTTCTGAATAAGTGCAGGCCAGAAACACCGTCATCCTCAGGTGAAAAACCGCCATCACCAAATACAGAGTATGAAAAGTGAAGATCACCATTACAAGGATTAAGCACCTCAACCTATAGAAAGCATAAAAGTCTAGATAAATGTTCGTTCAACTGTGGAGAGAAAGATATTGCACATAAGCTTTAGAGTAAGGAAAACTTACATTGCCATCTTTTCTTGCAACAGCCAAAAGCTGCAATTGGAACAAGAAGAAAAAAACTCAATATTTTGCCATTTTATACAAAGAAGAATACGAGTTATGAATCTCATTTGCTCTCGCGGACAAAATCAGATTTTTGCCAGAGTAAAAGCTGCCTCAATGAAGCACTCAAAATTTAAAAATACATTCACCAAATCACAACATGGTTTTACAAAAGTATTGATCAACTATAACTCTGAAGAAAAAAATGCACTGACTCAAAACTATTGACTCTCTGATTCTGTCGAGAAATACAATGGAAACAACAAATTTTGGCTCCTTAGAAGCTAATGAACAGTGAAACTGATTACTAAGCATAAACATTAAAAAAAAAAGGGAAGAAACTTTACAGGATTCCTTAAACGGTCATTCATGGAAGAAGCAAGAACGCATCTGGAAGCATTCGTCTCTCCCCATGTATCCACTACAGTCGGAGTACTTCTTACTTTACCTTGAGCTTCAGTCACTGCAAAATCAAATTCAAAACCCAAACACACACAAATCCCTCAAAACAATTTCTGTATAATTCTACCTCACAGCTCAAGAGAGAGAGGGAAAGAAGTGGGTACCTTTGATTAAGCCGAGAGAGTCGAAGGTTAAAGCTCGGATCGGAGGACAACCGTAGGTCTCGTTGGTGGTTATTCGAGGCATTTTCTTCGCCGCCGTAAAATTTTGCTCTCCGAATAATTTCAGTGGCACCACGACGGAGAAAGATGAACCCTTTTAAAAACCCTACGCTTTCGATTCTAAACCGGTACACCTAAAGCTACCTAAAATCGGTTTAACTTATTTTTGGGTTACCTAAACCGGGACAAAAGTTTAAATTGGAACTTTCTTTCTTGTATACAAATGCTAATGAGTTTTGTCTTTTTTTCTCTGTTCTTTTGTTTGCTCTCAAAGCTCTCAAATTCAAGATTTAAGGAGAGAAACACTCACAAATCATATAATTTCTTTGATAATTATTGCTAACAATCAATAAGGAAAAACAAAATAGTCGATTACAACTCTCTAGTCTTTACGAACTCACAACTTGATAAATCAGACAATGGTACCATGTAAGAGAAAAAGTTGATGACTTTGAACCTCTTGAACAGTCATTTAACAATTTTAGAGCTCGTTGATTGTGAATTCTTTGGTTTTAACATGATTCTTTTCTTCTTAACCGGGTGGCCATTTCATCTGTCGGCCACCGAGGACGTGTAGATGAAGATGGTAAACAGATTGGCCTGGATGAGAGAGGAAGTTAACTCAGTTAAGTGTATGATCATATGATAGTTTGGTTTGATGGGGGGAAAACAAACGACTTACAGGCTTCAGCACCGTTGTTGATAACCACACGGAACCCATCAAGGATGCCTTCTTTCTCTGCAACAATCTTCGATGCGTGTAAAAGTTGGCCAAGAACCTCTACGTGTCTTGGTTCAGCCTGCGATTGCGTAGATATATATGTTCAGGTAAGATCTTTAATAATCTGTTCCACCAAAAAAGAAAAAACTTTAAACTCATTTTCAATTTTTCTCTCATCATCTCCCTTCTCTCTCGTCTTTCACCTGCGATGTCTTGGAATTTCGCGTTTGGCGTTTGCATCTTGAGCGATGTCTTCTACCGGAAAGAGCACGCCCAGAGCCGCAATCGCTCATGATGCAAACGCAAAGCGCAAAACTGCAGGACAATTTATATCTCAATGTTTTTTTCTTCGTTTCTTTATGATTTTGCCTCTTATAACCACAGGCAGGCAAAAGATAATTAAGGCAGCATTCACATATATTGATCAGAACACCATAACATTGGCCACAAGATGAGACTCTATCTACAATACCAGACTACAGGAAGTCACAAAAAGGCATGTCAAGTGTAAAAGCTATTTGATTGTGATGAAGCACAACGAGTATGTGATATGCCGAACAAGTATGATCAAGAAAGACATTATCCTATCTGTTTTCCGCCTTTTCTTTCAAATGTGCAGCCCCGAGAGAGAACAACATAGTTTTTCTCTCACTAATAGACCGCGAATCACGATTTAGGACTGCTAGAGACGATTCAAACCGTACCAGAAACAGACTTGATTATTAAAAAATCTAAAACAAACTCACCTTACCAAGCATGGTCAAACCATCTCTCAACTTTGGGATTACCAAAACATGAACAGGAGCCTGTGGGTTTATGTCTCTGAATGCCAAAACGTTTTCATCTTCATAGACAATATCTGATGGAATCTCTTTTGCTATGATCTTGTCAAATCTAAAACCACAAAGATATTACCAAATAAAGCTGAATCCTTTACTAATGATCAGATTTCAACTCCAGCATTTCATAATTCAGATGAGTATCTTAATCTGACCATAACAAGAGATCAGAATCTAGAAATTGCGTGTTAAGAGAAACCATACATGGTCGGAGCTCCGGTGTCGGCAACAGCAGCCGCAGCTTTCGCGGCCGCTTCTTCATTGTGCGCGGCACGAGTAGTACAGATGGATCTGCCCAGCGATTAAACCAATCAGCTAAACATAAAAGAACAGTGACAATTCCAATTACTTGAGAAATCTTCACCTTTGAGGAAGAACCCTAATCGATTCTCCAGTGGAGAAGATGATTCTCGAACTCGCTCGAAACGACTGAGAAACCCTAACCACCGTAGCGAAATTCCTGAACAACAAAAACCCTCGACGCCATTAGCAAATTCAACAACCAAAATCGAAATATATCTGTAGATTAGAGAGAGTTTTTACCGAAGAAGCAGCATCGAGGGAGAAGAAGAAGAAGTGACAGCCATTGAAACTTGAAAGCTCTGCTTCAGATAAAAACGACGTCGTATAACTTCTTTATATTTCGTTCACAAAAAAAAAAGTTCAAAATAATATTATTTATTTATTTATTTT